CCCCTCAGTGATGGTCATCGTGACTGTGCCCCAGGAAAGAAAGGCATGCCTGCCGCATCGTGGGTGGTGGTACGGTCCCCCCGGGGCTGCAGACTCCACGCAAGGCCCTTGGGCTCCAATGCGGTGCCGGTGCCAGCCTGGCCTGCCCGGGCCTGGGAGCGTCACAGCTCCCCAGCTTCTGAGGACCCCCCCTTTTCTGGGGTCTGAAACGACATTTCCACCGATGACCACCATCCTCCACAAAAAAAGGACACCAGATTTAGGAAGAAGCCCATGCCAGAGCTGCCCGGCTTTCCTCCTTTTGCCACTGGCCAGTGGCAGTCTGGCCTGGTCTGCATTTGGCAACCAGCAAGCACAACCTCTGCTGAAGGTTGTGTTGTGTCAGTCCTGTTGAACACGAACAGGTCTCTCTCCTCACGGGAATGTCTGTTCCAGTTAACTGTGGGCAATTCCCGCTCATCCCCTCTGAGGATGGGGGGACCTTCCGGCTTCACGGGGGAGGCGCCCCAGCCCGGTCCAGAAGAAAAGAAAAGAAAAATGAAAAGCAGGAGGCAGAGAGGACGGAGCCCTCTGGTGAAAAGAAAACCCACAGAGCCCTTGCGCAACTGGCCGACGCTGAGGATCGGCCCTCTTCAGAGACACCTCGTAAACCGGACCCGCGCCTGGCAGCAGACGCCAGATGCCTGGCGCTCCAGGAGCTTTCGAAACATCTGGCCCTGGCGGCCTGATGACCCAGCGCAAGCGGATCACCCTGCGCTCGGCGGGCGCTGGGCCCACGTCTGCCCCGGGCATGCGCCGGGTGCATCAGGAAAGTCACCCACCAGCGCAAGGATGCGCATGCACGTCAGGGTGCTTCTTTTCCAGATACTCCCAAGAGCTGAGCCCACCTCAGACATGGGGACTCAGGCTGGGCCGGGATGACCTCGCAGGAACAGGCCTGGGCTCAGGGCCTTGGCCTCGGGGGATACTCTGACACAGTCGCCGTCCAGGGCTGGAGTCCATCTCCCCCTCCCCGCTATTCTGCAGGCCCCGGCCAGGGCCAGGGTGGGCCCCAGTTCTCAGGAAGCCAGGAAACACACTCTTTTCTGGGCTAAATGCCCAGATTCCTTGAGCAGCCACGGGACATGCTTTCTGTGAGCCGATCCAACGCCACAAGTGTGGGCTTGACGTTCCTCTGGGCAGCGTGAGCCCGCGGGGACACTAACAGGCGCACCTGGAATGCCAGGCCACCAGCTGGTCAGCGAGAGAGGCCTGCGCTGGGCCCAGACAGGAAGGGCTTTGGTCCTGGCCCGACCGTGGGAATGGGGGCCCAGAGATGCGCTCTATGGGCCCAGTTGCCTTTTCAGGGAAACAGAGCTCTGTGCATTCCACCATCATGCGTCACCACTTCCTGAGAGGCTCACGGGCCAGGCACTGTCCGAGGCACACGGTGGAGAGGACCTGGCCTCCCCGGAGGCGGCGAGAGGAAGGTGGGTATACAACACAGGGCGCAGCGACGGGGTCATCTCAGAAGCAGTAAATGCCAGGAGAGATGCCCACTGAGGAGTGGCTTGAGGGCACGCACGAGGAGCCGGACCCCAGAAAGGACCGGAGCACCCCGCCTGGACACTGAGCTGCTGGGGGTCTGGACTGACCCACATCCTCCACAGCCTGAGGGGGTCACCCCTACCCTGCCTGGCCCCAGGGGACTCCCCTGTTCTTTCTGGATGGGAAAGCTCCGTCCCTGACCTCAAGGGAAAACTCAAAAGAGTCTCATGCTAAAACAACATGCCCCAGGCTCATCTCCCTCTGCCCCCCCAGAGCACCAAAGTGGGTTCGAGGCCACCCTCCCGCCATCGGGACTGGTGCAGAGGTGACTTTCTCCCCACATCTGAACCTGAGGCCTTTCCCTTGTCTGCTGGGGACCCATCACCCAGTCCAGGCACCTCTCTGAGCCTCGTTGTGGTGGCCTGGAAATGGGAGGAAGGCAGGTTGGGTTGTTCACTGAGAGAGTCTGGAAAAGCCCAGGGGCGCCCACCTGACTGTCCCAGGGGCCGGCCAGCGGGGGAGTTCAGGGGCAGGAGGGCTGGACCCCTGGAAGGCAGTGCCTGGAGGGAAAGGCCCCAAGGAGGTGTCTAGCCGAGCGCCTCCCCATGACCTCACCTCTGAGTCTCAGTCTGCCCAGCTAGAAGGTGGGTTTGGGGATAATGAAAGGGGACCCCAGGTATGTGAAGCCGCCCAGACAGTCCAGCTCCCTTAACTCCGCTTTCAATGTATTTCGTTACACATTGCAGAGGAAAAAGCAAACCTGAAACAACTTTACTTGAAACCTGCTTTCCTTCTGCCCTATTGATTGAAGTTGCAGGCTCTAAGAACCTCCTGATGACTTCAAATGAGGAAGGACAAGGACACACTCAGCTCCTCACCCTCACGTATCCACTCGACAGAAAAATAATCTGACTGCATCCCGCAGTATGTAGGTTGAGGCTGGGGGGTCAGACGGAGGGGCAGTGTTGGTGGGCAGGACCCAGTCCCCTGGGGGCCACCCTGGGGTACCTGGCTCTCGGAGGGGGTGCGCTGGGGCTCCTGGCAGCCTGTGATCTTCCCCTAGAGCCCCGGACAGACCCTGCTGGGTGCTGCCCAGCCTCACTGCCTCACACCAAGGCAGAGAACAGGCTGCGGTCCCATGGCAGCCAGGCAGGCCCACTCCTGCTGGGGCTGGAGTGGTGACCCCTCCTGCACACCCTTTCGAACAGACAAGGTACCCCACATCTGTATTAAACTCTACGCTGCCTGCTTCCACCGCTCCGCCTCTAAATTCTCCAGATCAATCAACTGAGAATTGGAATTCCATCACAGTGACAACACAGTTGGCCCCCCCATCCCCGCATAGAGCTTTAGAACTGGGGTTCATGCAGATTAATGACACTGCCTAGAAATTGGGGGGGTAAATGTATTCCGAGGCAGCTGGCTTGCAGGCCAGGGCCTGAGCCGAGGCACCCCACTAGCGCGGGCTTCTCTCATCCCTGAGAATCAAAACAGTTTCTCCAACAGGGAAGGAAAAAAAAAATGACACTCAGAAATCCGGATTTAGGGAAAATAACACATCCATGGCACTTTTTTTCCCTTCTCAAAGCGTGCTGCGAGCTTTACATATTTTATCATTTATTCTCACATTGTCCCCAGCAAGTTGGTAGGCGTCGGCCTTGTTTTTCACAAGAAAGCTGTGAGAGCCGCTGAGGGTGTGGAGGTGAGGGGGCTCCCGCCCCGACACCCTGCGGGAAAGGGCTGCGGTGGGGTGGGAGAGGGCCCAGGGATCTTTTCGGGTGGAACTGCAGCCTCTGGAAGAATCTCCACCTGCTTCCTGGCCTGAACACCGGCCTCACCAAAACACTTCACCATGCCACCAGGAATAGCCACCTCACCGCCCCCTCCCTTACCAACCTCAAACCTTCCAGATAAATCCATCACTCCTGAGTTTAGAAATCAGGCTCCTGCCCTGGGGGGGGGGCTCCAATCCCTAGGGACACCTGTCACTGGTTACTGCCCCACGGGGTCTCTCACAGTTCCCGGGAGAACCCTGGGCCCCCCCATATTCCTACCTAGCAAATATGTCCTCTCTACCGGCTGGTGATGGACAGGTGCTTCCAGATCGTGCTGTAAGTCTGTGCTGTGTGACCTTGGGTAACTCCCTTTACCTCTCTGAGCCTTGGGTCTACTGATAAAATGGAGCCATTCCATAAAAAATGTAGATAATCTGGTAATGGCACATGAACCCCTGGACGATGCCCTGACGATCAAGCAGTCGTAGTTGGAAGAGGGGCTGTGTGCAAAAAGATAGCTGAGAATTCTGTATGAACAGAACTTCCTGGCCAGGGACAAAAACTGGCCTTTGTTGGGGAGGCCCAGGGCATGGCCGTGGGGCCACCACCCCATCAGGACTGCCCCACTCGGAGCCACTGGAGGTCCAATAGCCCCTCCAAGGTGCCACGGGAATTCATCAATGCCCACGACTCTGCTTCCTCCTCTCATGCTTAGGCTGACCCTGTCTGTCACTGTGGCGGGCCCGGGACTCTCCCCATCCCTACGCCACTCCCACGTCGGGTCTAGGGAGGCCAGGCCGAGGAAGGTCAAAGGGGAAGGGGGCCAAGCCCTCCCCTACCGCTGAGGACACTGAGCCCAGCCACAGCCCTGGCACCCAGCGGCCCATCAGAAGTCCTGCCCGAGACCCTTCCCTCCTAACCTGTAGCCCACACACCTTTGCTGTTCCCCGAGACAGGAGCCTCCAGGAGGGAGCCGAAGGCCAACACAGGTCCTTCCTCACTTGGCTCCCACTCTTCCCCAGGACGGCCCCACCCCTCTTGTCCATGCTGAGGTTTGCAGGGTGCTGCCACTGACCCCCCAGGCTTGGCCCAGTGAGGATGAGGACCCCTTTCACACCCCTCAGGGGCTGGGGTCCTCCCGGTGTCAGGGACTAGAATGCGGGGCTGCCAGCTGTCCCCCCTGCCCCCATCCGACCCCGGGCCTGTCCTCAGGACCTGGGCTCTTTCAGCTCGGAGGTTGCGTGTGCTGAAGAGTCTCTTTTTTTTCTCTCTTTCCTTTCCCCTTTCAGCAAAACTGCTCTGCCCTGTCCCCAAGGCGGTTCCAAGAGGCCCATCTCATCCCGCAGAAGTGATGGCGGTAATTCCGCTAATGGGAAGCAAGATGGATGGTGCTCAACGCCCAGAGTGAATGAGGTGAGCTGGAATCGGCCGCCCCGGGGGAGGGAAAGTGTTACCAGAACACACCCTCCTTTGGGGCCTTATTAGGTCTTGAAAGAGCTGCCGCACTTGCTAAAACCTGCTTTTGCCAGCAGAAGCCTCATTTTACAAATATACAACAACAACAAAAAAACCTGTAAATGGGAAGAAAACCCTGCAGATTATGCTCCTTCCGCTGCAGAGAGGCCGTGGCCGCCTCTCGGAGCAGAGCATTTAGCCTGTGACTCCGGGTTTAGATCAACGGGCCTGGGCGCGGCTCACCATTTTGTGATCATGAGCTCCGCTGTGTCTCTGCCGCATCAGAACCGTTTGCCAGCAGTCGGACGGGACAGCTTTGGAGACCTTTTCAAAGGCCGGTCTGTTTCAGATGCCACAAAGCCCCACGGCCGGCGGCTGTCCCGGGAGGCGTCCCAGACAGAGTCACACCCCACGGGCCCCGGCCCGCCGCCCGGCCTGAGAACCTGGGGGGTGGGGGTAGGGTTGGCCAAAGCATCCTTGCTGCGGCATGAATGGCTGTTCTTTCCACAGTGACGCAGACAGCTCACCTCGCCCTGCAGTCTGGGACCCAGCCACCACCTCTTTGGGCTTCAGTTTGTTCAAAGGCAAAATGAAGGGGGAAGCCCAAGCTGGGAGGGAGACAGCCAAGACCAAAGACATGCAGAGCTAGCCGGCATGGAGCCAGGCTCCCCGGGACTGTGTGACCTTGGCCAGTCCGGGAACCTCTCTGAGCCTCAGCGTCCTCACCCCTAACAGGAGGTGACCCTCAGCCACCTCACGGAGCAAGGAGTCAGTACAACCCCGGCTCAGCCGAACACAGTCACCTCCCGAGCCAATTCTAGCACCTTCCACAGCACCCAGTGCCCCTGGCACATAGGCACGAGGCCGGCTGAGCATCTGGTATTGGAGAAGAACCCGTGGCTTTTCTGCTGCTTAAAAAAAAACAATAGCATCTATTCACGCCGGAACAGAGCGGTGTGGGGTATGTGTGCTGGGAACTGAAGGCCGGGGTCCACGGCGGCTGGGCCACACACCTACTACGTGCTCCTAGCAAATGCTCAGCCTTGCTGTCTGTACAACGGGACCAGCAGAACCTGCCTCACACGGAGCCGGAGTGCCAGGCGGCGGGGGCCCGCCCACCCAGCCCTGGTTCACAGCCGTGCGGGAGTGAACCGTGGAGAGTCTCGGAGGACCTGGGAAAAACTCCCTCGTTCCAGCTGAGACGACCACTTGGGCTTTCTCGAAGCCAGGCTGACATCCCCGTCCCCGGGGGAGAGCTGGGGCCTTACGCAGGCAGGATGTGAAAAAGGGGCGTTGGGGAGCGTCACCCCACCAGGCAGCGTGGGAGATTTCAGCCTCGTCTTGTTCATTGTGCTCCTTAGAACAGTGCCTGGCTCTGTGGGTCACTGACTGCCCAGCCGAGGGAGGACTGGAAAATTCCCCGGGGAGGGAGGCTCTGGGTGAGTGAGCACCAGTCTGGGACAGTCCAGCATGTCCCAGCATGGAGGGGGGCCCAGCGCCCCATGTGCCACCAAGCTGCAGCCAGCCCCCCCAATGGTGTCACTCACAACCAACACAGCAAAACCCAGAAAACAACTGAGATGGCCCCCCACTTTGCAAGTGACAAACCTGGGGACCCCGTGGGATGCGAGAAGCCAAGCAAAGTGGGCTTGGCTGCATCTGGGTTCGTGGGGCCCCCCTGCCTCGCCAGGCTGCCTGGGCCCTGGAGGAGAAAGCTGAAACCCGCTCCCCTCTGAGACGCGGCTCTCGGAGGCAGGAGCCGGGCTGCTTTAGGCTCTGAATCTCAATGAAAAAATGAGGTCAGTTCAAAGCGTGGTGAGGAGGGTTAGGCCACACAGGTAAAGCACTGGCCAGGTCTCAGGCGCCCTGTGGGCACCGAGCAACATGCATGTGTCGCCTGTCTGGGTCTTCTCACGCGCGCTTCCTTGTGGCTGGGACTGCACGGCCGGCTGGCGGGAGAGCTTGCGATACCGGTCTCCAGGGCACCCCCTGCTTGGCGTTCCTCCTGAGCCAGCCAGCAGGTCGGTGGCTTCCGACCCTTGTCACTCAAGCAAGCCGGCGCGCCCCGGCAGACCTGAGCCCACAGCCCCCTCTGACAGGTGCGTGTTGCGGGAGGAGGCCGCGGCCCTCCCATCGGTGCCAGTTTGAGCACCACTGACCAACTAGTGGCATCTGGCCCTGCCCTGCAAAGAGCCCCAGGCTTCATGCTTTGTCCTCCTGTCCTGAAATTCCTCTTTGTCTTTGAACTTGTGTTTTAAAAGCAAAGTCCAGGGAAATCCTGTGTGCCTGCCGGGAGCTTGGAGCCCCGGTGACCCTTCCCGGACCTCACCTGCCCGCTTCTCCCCATCCCAGCAACTTCTGCAGCCCTCCACCCTTGGCAAGGGCCTGGTGGGGGCAGGTGCACCCTGGGTGGGGGGCGCAGGCACTGTGAGGGTTTGCACTCACCCCACAAGTGTGCCTGAGCCCGAAGGAGCGTGGCATTACGCAGCTAATACAAACTTCGGCAGGTGGAGAGAGGAACTGGGAGGATTAAAAAGCTTTCCCCTGCTTTTTAAACAAGGGCACCTTGCATTTTCATTTTAGAGGGGACCCCAAATGGTCCTGCCTTCCATTTACACAATCCTCCTCTCACCCTCCACCCTCACGCCCTAAAGCCCCTGAGAACATCCCTAGGCCTCCGCAAAACTAGAAAACGCCACCGGGTCTCGGGTACCCAACACCACCCCCACGCCACCATGTCCTGGGTGTCCCTTGAATCCGGGTTGGTCATCTACTGGGGTCTCCTGTTTCCGATGCTGGGGGTGTGGCAGCCAACGGGGACTCAGAGTGGTGACGAGACAGGCAGGGCTGGAGGCAGCACCATCAGGCAGGGGAGCAGCAGTCTGGACAGCATCGAGAGGGCAGGGAAGGAGCAGCTGGTCCTCAGACTGCCTCCCCCAGGCGGGGACGCTGGAATCAGCCTTGGGAGACAGAGCCCCTCACCATAAAGCAGGGACACCCTGATTTACCTCAATGGGCTTTCAGAGACAGAGCAGCTTTGGTGTCCGAGTGTCCCCAGCCTGGCAGGGCCGGCATGGCAGGGACAGGTGTGACACAGGCAGAGGCTGGGCCACAGGGCACGAATGCAGGGGCCACCTGCAGAGAATTCCTAAACGCCCACAGCACCAAGGACCAAGAGGGCCACCCCGTCCCAGCCCCGCCTGTGCCTCGCCGGGGCCAGGGCGGCTCTGCTCACCTGCTCGTGCCCGGTGACTGGCTCCTGGTGGTGTCTGTTCCAGCCTGACAGTCTGCAGACACCCCATTCTCTTCCTTGCTGTGACTCAGAAAGCCACTTAGCGCGGAAACAGGGTCGACCAGGTGGACGAGGGTGGCCCACCGGGCTGGATCCTAGGCCACTCCCCAGCGGTGGGGCCTGGGGCGGATCTGCCCTGCTCTGGGCCTCAGTTTCCCCTCCCATCCTCACGGGGTTGCCGTGCCCGTGAAAAGGAATGACGTTGGCGAGGAGTTCGGCGCAGCGAGTGCTGAATAAATGTCAGCCGCAGCTTTCGTCCCGCAACCCCAAAACACCAAATTAGAAACCCAGACCTCGCCTCCCACGTCCCAGGACGGCGTGAGTCGGCTGTGTCTTTCCAGCATCTGCCACGGCGCTGCTCGGAGCCTGCTCTCTCCCCCCACTGTCATGTCGCATCAGTCCATAAATATTTAAACAACATGTCATCAGATTATTATAACATATGATCTATAGCACTGATGTGCTGCAGTTCTGCGCATTTGGGCTTCGTTTTCAGAATATCGAGACATAAAATATTTATGTATTTAGCCAACCACGAGATCTCACATTCTGTCTCAAAATGCTGGGTGGCGGCAAGACGCTGAACTGAGATGTGACGTGTGAAGGGGATGCCTTGTTCTCACGGCAATTCCTGGGGCATCTGGATTGTTTCTGGTTCGTTTTGGAAATGTCACCCCGTGGCTTGTGAGGGAAGGTGGGAGGTTGGGGGGCTGTCACCGCAGGAGGAGGTTGGAGGCCAAAGCCCCATCGGAATGGGGCCAGGGCTGGGGTCTCCGAGGACCTTGGCTCACGTCTGCTTCTGCTGAGCAAATGTCCACTGGGGATGGAATTAAGTCACCTGCAGCCCACAGCTGCACCCCAACAGGCTGGTACCCAGCTGAGTTCAGTGCTGTTTGTTCCGTTTCTTCCTGTCCCCAGGGCCCAGCACCAGGCCAGGCACAGAGAGGGACCAGCGAATGCTGTCAGAGGAGTGGCAATTGGAGGAATAAATGCGTGACCAGATAAATCACTTAATTAGCTAATAAATTAATGAGGGATAATGACTCCCTGTCTGCTGGTCTGAATTACACCACGTAAAACCCCCCTCCTGAGAAATAAAGGCTCTCCAGTAACCCTTAGTGGGTAGGCATAGGGGTTTTTCTGGGTAATTAAATATCTCGACTGTTAACATTAGCACATCACAGTGACCATATGTCCCAGAATTTTCAGTCCGGTGCAATTTGAAGCCGCTGCCCCCTGAGCCATTTGAACATCCAGGAGCTTCTCACACACCAGTCACCAAATAGCATCTTCCAAACTGCCTCTCCTGTCCCCAGATGTCACTCCGACGCTTTTACAGACCGCTGCCCTTCGGGGAGCGTGGCCATGTGTTTAACCTCTCGATGGCTGACGTCTGCCGACCTGGGGTTCCATAAAAGCAGGTGCGTGAAACTGTCAGCGTGGAGTTTCTCTGCCTGTTCCCAAACGCCTTAGCGCCACCCGTCAGAGCGGGCCGCCCCCAACCCGGTCCCCAGCCTCTGTACAGACAAAATTCCAGTCCTCGTTTCCCCTTGGGTTATCTGAGGAGGCTGGCATTTAAAACAAACACAAAAGGCCACTCAGATTCCGGGAAGAGGCGAACAAAGGAGGATGCACGCACACTGAGTCAGGCACGCGGGTCCACACTCGAGATCCGGGCGTAACCAGACCCGGCTGCGGCCGCGGGGCCCGCCACCACACGGGTGTGCTCCCCTCCCCACTCCCTGCCTGCTCGCCATGTGGTGCCCAGTGGCCCTGCCAGCTGGGTGCCCAACCCGGATCACCAGCCGAGGCCACGCCAGCTAGGGCAGGAGCAGAATCTGGGGCCTTGCTCATTTGCCAGGCAGAGTCGTCTGTGCCCAGAGGTGGGCTGGAAGGGCACGCACGGCCTGTTCCTTCTCTTAGCAACACCAACCCCCGCCACCCGCAAGGCATGCATTCTAGAAAATGAGTATGTTGACAGAGAACGCTGCTGGAAGACGTGGCACGGCCCTGCTCCAACCCCAGGCCCCTCCTTACAGGCACCAGGCGGCGTCTTTGTAGAAGAGGTGGAGGAAGGAGACCCCGGAGCTCTGGCAGTGTACGCAAGTTCTTCTGGGTGTAGGTACCGCCTACTTGGAATAAATCAAGGATGAGTCTTTCTCTGAGAAACCCTCTCTACACAGGGAGGCTTGGTGGGGCACAACTCAGCCTGCTCCTGCCCGCT